CTCTCTCTCTCTCTCTCTCTCTCTCTCTCTCTCTCTCTCTCTCTCTCTCTCTCTCTCTCTCTCTCTCTCTCTCTCTCTTTCTCTCTCCCTCTGCGACTGATATCCTCCTTTTCCTCAGTAATAAGTGAGTCCAGAACTCTTCTCTTCTTAAACTAGCCAAAGACATCGCCATGATCTAGTTAATAGATTATTCCTATTAAATAATCAATCAACACTGCTATTGATCGAACATACTTGTTTGGGTCAATAGATCTAGTTAATAGACTTATTCAGTAAGGTGAACGCTAATGAATTTTTTATTTAATGGTTGAGCTCTTTAATATCATGCATACAACTGTTTAACACCTATAGGATTATAATCCTTAATATCTGAATAAAAATCTTAATCTAACACCTTTCCAATTAAGTTTCCATTACGACTATTTACTTTAATTTCATAAACCAATCTAGTATTATTACTTTGATTAGATTTAGTTGGTTATCTAGGTCCTTGTGGATTCGATCCGTAAATACTACAATTGAACATCTTGTTTGAGAGTAAGTCACTCCTTAAGGTAATTTGAGTGATATCAAATTTGGCGCCGTACAATAATGAAAGAAAACAATAAAACAAAGCAATAGATAGATTGGGGTTAAGCAATGGAAGAAAATGATTGATCTAGGGATTTGCCAATTAAGAGATTCAAAACACAAATCAGTGATGTTAAGGGTTTTATAGGTTCAGATTAAGAATTCAAATTCTATATTAAGTTATCCAGCTCTCGCATACGATAAATTATTCAAATGTCTAACTCTAATCAAGTTCCAACTCTTGTTGCGAGCATGAATCAAAAAGCAGTAGACAAGATTCAATAATGTTCAACTAAATCCTACACCAATTCTCACTGCAAATAGGTATCTAAACCATCCGGTTTTGGAATCTATTAATCGCCTGCATTTTCGTTTCTCTTAGTTGTCCTATGATTCTAGGTTAAGGTAATCAGTCACACTCTTGTGCTAGTAAAATGATTGTTGGCTACATGAAGTACTGACCACCACATGGCTAACCATGCAGACTAAACTAACGTACACCTAACTACAGGAAGTATATGTTATGCATGAGAACATCCCTCAACTTAATGATGTTATATAGTTAACATCACAAACTTAAGTTCATTATTCCAAAAGTGACGTCGACGTTGGAAATGTTAACTCCAATTTAATTCTCGTGTTGATCAATTAAAATTTGACCCACCTAACCAAAAGTAAACTAAAATTTTACCCGACGCAGCCTAATTGACAAAATAAAATTTAGCCGTCAATTTAAGATCAGCCCAAATTTTTTAAAATTATTAGAGACGTAGTTTCTCTGTCACGGCAAAAAGGAAAATTCTAAACAATTAGTTTCAATTCAAATCTGTGAGAGAAAAAAGAATTTGATGAAATCATGTGGGGTTATTGACCACAATAAAGAGACAGAGTAATAGATCATGGGGTTGATAAACTTCTCTTTCTCGATTTTGGCAATAACCCCCACACAATTTCACTAACTTTCTTTCTCACCGATTTATATCAAAGTACTATTTTTTCTTATTTTCACTTTTGTCGCAACCGGTTAAATTTTAGTTAAAATATGATTAATTAGTCGGACTTTAATTGATTAAGCAAAAGAATTAAAAGGAGTTAATGTTTCCAACGTCCACATCACTTTTTGGATTAATGAAATTAAGCTTTTGATGTTAACTACAGAACATCATTAAGTTAAGGGATATTGTCATACATAACATATACTTAATGTAGCTCGGTATATATTAGTTTAGTCTGCATGGCTAGCCATGTGGTCGTCAATAGTTCACGTAATCAGTAATCATTTCTCTAAAATATAGAATACAATCAATGGAGTTCCAATAGATCTCTAAAGAAATTCTTAGATCTTCTCTCCAAGTCTCTCAATGGTAAAACTAAAAGCATAACATCTACAATGGCTTAACAAAACATTATATAGGGTTTAGACATGTTCTGGGATCTTCTGTAAATAAGGAAAACTATAGTGCAAAATTAAATTTTTTGAAATTTCATTAAAACTCACTGGGCTATAGATTAGGAGGGGTGTCTATTGTCACTAAGGTGGTGCCGATCACAACTTTGATAGCTTCTTCTCACACACATATATATCACTTTTCAGTAAAATAAGCATATTTTTTATTTAGGATGATGTTTGACCTAAAATCGGTGGCATTGGAAATATAAGAAAGCTATATTTTTTTTTATCAAAAATGAATTCAATTTCACCGAGATAAATTCTCCATCTATTTCTAAGATTCTGACGCGTCTGCACAGTTGTGCACCTCAAGTAGTTTCAGAATCTCTAAAATTCTCCAAAACATATATGAACCTAAAAAGAGTTTGAAAAGGATTCCAAACATATATAATAGACTCTGTAAAAGACTTAAACTATGGCCCATTGGTGACAGACAAACTCCGTTAGTTCATGAGAGAGTTAGATATTCATGTTTTCTGACTACATGTAGAGTTAACAATTTGGTAACAGAGGAAAATTTATCTTTGGCCTGGGTTAGTTGAACGATTTTCTAGCCAGGGAAAACCATTAGAGCACTATAATTTGATTGCTTCACCATCGTTATTGTGTGAGAATTTTGTTGTTTCTCTTTCTTTTGGTCAACAGAATATTGCTATTTCTCTATGTTTATAGAATTAATAAAAAATTAAAAGTTGGCAACTATATTCTTCGTTGTTGCATTATGTAGCTCACATGGAAGACCTAATAAAAAGAAATAAACAAACAAAACGGGTGGATGAATGTAGTCAGATTAATTTTCGGCGATGAAAAGACTGCAAGAGTGGTGGGGTTTCACAAAGCACATCACATGGGCTGTCCACAACCAAGGAGACAACAACGTCTGTCTTCTCTTCCTCCAAAAGCCAGTTTCACCATTTTGCTTTTTCTCACCCTTATTTTATAAATTATCCAGTTTTGGTTTTTGCAATGTGGATAAAACTAGACTACAATTTGCCTGTGGAGAAGAAGAAGCCGACAATTGTTAGCTAAATCTTACACCATCTGTTGCTTTATTTGTTTAGTGAATGTTTGACTTATAAAATTACAAGACAATATACTTTCTACAGCAAAGAAAAAGATAACTTATATTACAGTATATGCTTTTTATAACCCTAACAATATGGCTGATCCATGCGTTTTCTTTTCTTAAAATATTGATTGTGAATTGACTTTAGTAGTAACAACCAACCGAGATGACATAATTTTCTGTTCATTTTGGTTAACTCATGCAAAAACTAATGTATGTGCCTAAATTTATTTATTTAGAAGGTTTATAAAACAAAGTTATTATTGCTTTCTAAAAGTTATATAGTTTTTCTTTTCATCTGTTTTCATGTTTGTTATACTAGTTTTCATGGGACTTAAACAGATTTCAAACAGCTTAGATAACACTTATTATCATGGTTCTCAGATAGTATTGACAAAGATGACCAAATGATAATGAGTTTATTAAATATAAGATGACTCAATGACTTCATGAAAAAAAAGATGGCTTCATCATCATGAACAATATAGATGAGTGTTGGAGCCAATAAAATACAAACTCCAAGTAACATGGAGTTTAACTTAACTGGTAATAAGAAAGAATGTTGCAGAGACGAGATTACACTCAGAACCATATTGATACATCTTGCTGCTGCTTCCCCATTCCTTCCATAACTACACCTTGCCAATCATTTTTGTAATCGAACGATGCAATATTAAACGTTGTGGAATCATACACCATCTGGAACTGATTGTTATCAAGCTTAATCCCACTGTTCCCTTGTTGCATAAACATCTGACTGCGGTCGAAACTAAGCTGTGGTTCTTGATAATTCTGAGCTGCTGCTGCATCAATGGTCAATCTCTGACTTGGAGCTTGGCTGCTCTGCACATTTCTGTCATACATCGCCATAAGCTCAGTGATCATCTTCTGTCCATTTTCCGGAACTCCATAGCCTGATAGGTCGATCGGTTGGACAGGCTGAGGAAAGGGTTGTGACTGTTGTGATACAACTACTGGCTTCACTTCACTCATATGAAACTTCGGTGCTGCTCCATATGCTAAGCGATTCTCTCTGTATGGACAGACCAGTTGGTGATTATCCCTTGAGCTCCTGTCCTGGTATCCAAGATTGATTTTGCTGTGAGGACACTGACCATTCTCACAAGTGAAACCTGGTCTCTCTATATCCATAACATTAAGATCGTTGTTCTGCTTCCTCTTCCTAGCAAAATCCACGGCGGCCACGACTTCTTCCTTTACAGAAAAAGGTTGCATTTTACCAATCCCAAAGTATGTTGGATGATTCATACCCACCACTATCTCTGGTTTTAGCTCTTGCACATCGAAACTCCGTTGCTGTTCCTTCTCGAAACAATCAACATCATACTCATTACAATCATTGATAAGAAGAGATCCACTTCCCACAGATGAAGTCGAAAGAGGAGGACATGACTCGGGATAAAGCTCCCGAGCCAGAGCCTCTTCTTGGTTGATAATGGCAAGCCAAGTCGCACTCTCTTTCGCCGTCATCTTATCCTGCAAGCATTTCGATTGCCTCACAAGCTTACGGATTTTCGCTATATCAGGCAACATATGCTTGATAACGGCAGTCAAAACACCGACTTTCCAAGCTTTCTTTAAATCATGAGGCTTCTTATAAGGAGGAGGAGCTTGATCATTAGACAAACCAAGCTGAGGCCACCACTCTTCTCTCCCATTAGGCCACCACGGTGGTGGAACACCTTTTTCCAAAGGAAACCGTCTCTGAGGAGGATCACAGTGTTGCATCAACGCAGACAAAAGCGATCCAAGAGTTGTGTCTTGAAGCTCCTGAAGTGTGTGTTGTGTTGGTCCAACCAAACTATTACAATCAATACTCCCCCCAACAATATTGTTTTCTGCTTGGTACTTTGCAATGGCGGCTGGACCGTTACGATCAAACCTGACTTTATCTTTCCACCATTCCCTAAGATTATCAGAAGCACCAGTCACTGGCTTCCCTTTCTCAGGGATGATACCGTAAACAAAGCCTTGAGCTTTACAAACTTCCATCATCTTCAACATGTATTTCAAGATCCCATCTTGTGCTCTTGACATTTTCTTCCTCCTAGCTTGCTCTTGTGACTGTCTCTGCTTCGAAGCATCGACTCCTTCTTTACACTTGCTCTGCTGCTCCTTGAGGCGTTTTAGACGCATTTTTTCCCTCCACATCCTTCTCTCAAGCTCATCAACATCGACCTCATCATCTGTGTAATCATCTTCAACCACTGGACGATCTTGTTCAGCTTGTGGCAATGGACACACAACGATTTCTCCAAGAGAAGTGGAAGAGAAGAAATCCATGTTTCCATACATGCCCATCTCGTTAAACATCATCATCTCTCTCACACAAGAGTCAATCCAATCCTGTTACTTGAAGAAAATAAATAAAAAGCTTTATTTGATCTTCCTATAGTCAATTAAAGACAATCAGACTAAATTAGTCTTAATCCATCGATGAGGTCAAATAAAGAGAAAGAGAATAGTTGATTTGACAAGAAGACATCAAATTAAAGTAAAATTAATAATCTCATCTCAGATAACTAAACCCAAAAAATCTGGAAAAGACAGAAACAAAAGACCAAGAGTGTTACCTCAGAGAGTTTTTTTTTTGCGAGTTGCTAAAAAAGAACAACAAAGTGGTCTCTGTCTCTCTCTATGCCTTTTGTTTCCAGAAAGTTCAAATAAGAAAGCAGATAAGGAAGTGATTGTTTTTGTAGAAGCCCCAGTTTTGAAAGATGAAGAAGGAAAACTCAGATGAAGATCAAATGTAGAGAAAGAGACATTTATCAATTATCATTGGAGTCCGTAGATGAGAGAGAGAAAAGAAGAATGCTATGGTGGTGGGGATTTAAAAACTAAAGTTGGAAAATTACTAGAAATAACACTTTCGAGATATCGCTTTTCAATTTTACACTAACCAACTTTACCATTAAAATTTTAATAGTCAAAATACTTTTAGAATTTAGGGTTTAGGATTGATAGTTTAGGGTTTAGTGTTGATTTTTTAGGGTTTAGAGTTTACTTTTTAGGGTTTAGAGTTTAAGGTTTAGAATTGATACTTTAGGGTTTAGGGTTGATTTTTAGGGTTTAAGGTTTACTTTTTAGGGTCTAGAGTTTAGAATTGATGTTTTAGGGTTTAGTGTTAATATTTTATTTAATATTTATTTTATATATATATATATATATAAAGAACAAAGATATAAGAGTCTTTTATCCTTTAATAAAATGTGTAGTTTTGAAAATGTACCTTTATTGATGGTAAACATGAAAAGTGGTACCACCAAAGTGGTATAATTGAAATTCTCCCACTAAAGTTCCACCGTTTCATTTTTATCTTCCTATTTTTCTAAAACAATTTTCTTTTGATCAACCTTCTAAAACAACTAAGGGAATTATGATTAAACAGAATAGAAATTTTTTTTGACCAAAAAAAAAACAGAACAGAAATTCAACTTCCTTCTCCTTGGTATATAATTCTTTTGTCTATTTTTTTCCTTTTTATCATTTCCATTTCTAAAACTTAATAAAATAAATAATTTTATGAATCAGAAAAATAATAAAAATAGAAAGAAGTAACAAAATGTCTATATACACAAATTGATATATTTTTTTTGTTTTTTAAAAAACTTGTTAAATTAAAAAAAATTAAATCTATTCTACGAAGAAATAAATTTCATCTTCTACGAAAATGACCTCATAGAAATCATATTGAGAAAATGACTAGAATAGACTTAAAAAAGTTTTTATCATAAATATATACCTTAATAATTAAAATGACCAAAATAACACTTAAATGTTTTATTAAATATACATTTATACCCATTGGGTTAACTAATCCTAGACTTTTTTGTTTAGAGTTGAGGAGTAGGTTTTGGGATAAGGTTTCAAATTTTTAAAAATAAAAAAACTTCAAATTTTCAAAATAAAAAGTGCTATTTTGGTCATTTTAATTTTTGAAGTCTATTTTTGTAATAAAACTTAAAAAAGTGTTATTTGAGAAAATTGCCCAATCACATTCCACCTTAAACAAGTAACTCTTTTTTTTAGAAACGACAAACTACTTTTATAAAAAACTCTATATATGAAAAATGTGATTAGGCCTGCGAGTTCGGTTTTCTGAAACCGAACCGTCGGTTTTCGGTTAACCGGAATTTTGAAAACCATTTCCGAAATTAACCGAAATTAAATTCGGTTCGGGTCAGTTATCTTCGGTTTTCATTTAATTTTCAAAAATAGCCGAGACTTTATAATATTTACAGAATAAGGAAAAAAATTGGTTATTTTTGGTTTAATCGGTTAAATCGATTATCTTTGGTTTAATCGGTTGTGACCTGAAAAGTTAAAATTTACTAGAAAAACCAACATAGTCAGCAAGACAATTGTTCATCTGTTTGCAATCTAACAAATAAAAAAAGTCCAACTTTCTGAATCTATCTCTTTGCAATACACACTTCAAAGAAGTGTGATTCATATAATTCCAAAAAGTCTTAGAATGTCCAACAGAGTAGAAAGAGTAACCAAACAAAAATATAGGAAAAAGAGTATAATTCCATACGGCTTACACTGAAACCTGCAACTTTTGCAGAGGAAAAATCAGTGAAGAAAACAGAACAACAATGCACGGAAGACACTAAAACCAGCTAAGCAACAAAAGAACATTACCTCAAAGATTCTCATAAAATTTGCAGAGTATCTACATAGTGAAAGAGAAAGACAGTCACCATCAACACTAAAAAGAAAAAACATATGAAATATTAAAGGAAGAAGCCAACACATTACGTAGTGACCACTGATTCATATAATAAGATGAAAAATCCAAGTTAAAGAGAAAGAGATATCAACCGACCAACACAAACCCACCCTAAACGTCTAAAGATCAAACCCATGTCAACTCATTATTCAAAACACTATCACACTGATAACTGTTTCATCTTTCAAGCCAAATCATAACCTCATACTCCCAAATCAATCGCAAACTCAAACCCTAAACTGAAAATTGATAGAAAACCCTAAGAGACACTGTCAGATTAATAATCAATCCATCATTCGATTTCGACAGAACCCTTAACTCCCAAATCGATTGCAAACACGAAACCAAACTCAAGAACTACACAAAATTACAAGTGAGTGAAGAACCTACCTTGTGGTTGGAAAGATGTGAGAATCAGATGAGATTATTAGGGTTGAGAACTGACGAAGCGAAGGCGAGGCACGGGTTTGAGAGTGAGTGACTGCTTAGGTTTCTTAGGTTGAACCGACAAATAAGGTTAATAAGGGGTATATATATATATAGGTAGGTTAAATCTCGGTTAACCGGTCGGGTATCATGAACCGAACCGAACCGAGACACTAACCGAACATTTTTAAAACATATTCCGATCGGTTTATTCTTGATAACCGAACAATAACCGAATTATACAATGTTCGGTTCGGTTCGGACCGTTCGGTTCGGTTAAAAATCCCAGGGCTAAATGTGATGTTTACTTAATGTAGAAGGTTCTACAAAAGAACTGAATGCAGATTCTACTTTATGAACCAATTTTTAAATTCTTAAAATACATAATCTAGACATAACTCAAAAGTATACTTATTGTAGAATATGCTTATAGGAAAATGTCATCGTTTCTATATTGTGTAGAAGTTACATTTTAAGAATAAGATAAACAAAAATTCCGTAAATTTCGGAAGTTATTTATGAAAATATTCTAAAAAGATTTGTAATCTTTGTAGTTGCCATAAATGTATAGAAACGATTTTCGTTGTCAATACTCCCCAAAAATATTGACTAAAGGTTGGTTTCTTCATCCAATCCAGATTTCTCCATTGTTTTTCTTCTGATTTTCACAAACTTTTCTTGTATGGTACATATCTATATGATTTGTAATGTATGGTATATCTATTCAAGAAGATCACACAGAACCCTAAAATACTCTACCCATTAGTGCTTCATCGTGAAACTTACTTGACCACTACCAAATCCTCAACCACCAAGCCTGAAGAATATTGCAGACAACAATACCTTGTATTCAGTTTCTGTTAGTCTAAGCTTGATGATACTTGAGTTGGAAGTTATCTTAATATTTGGAGTTATCCTTATCGTTGGTGTTTCATATTTATCTTCGGTGCTTTAGGAATATTTATTTGGTGTTTATCTTAATAGGGTTAGGACCCTTGTTAGCTCTATATATAGCTGAGACGTTTGCAGTTTAATAATCACGAGGTGTGTGAGTTATTGAGCTTAGTTTTTGAGTTACTTTTCTAACCAATACGAAAGTGGTTTTGATTTTTGATTCTTTGAGTTCTATAATTGGTATCAGAGCTTGGATATTGAAAGAAAACAGAGAAACTGGACTCTCGTCCATTAAGTTTCCAATGTTAACAGCCACAAATTACACAGTTTGGGCTATGAGGATGAAGATTGCATTAAGGGTTAACAAGGTTTGGGAAACCATTTATCCTGGCAACAAGAATGAAGAAAAGAATGATCTGGCTATAGCCTTGATTGTTCAATCGATACCGGAGGCGCTAACACTGCAAGTTGGGAATTTGAATACAGCAAAAGAGGTTTGGGACGCAGTCCAAACTCGCCATGTTGGAGACGAAAGAGTCAGAGAAGCCAGACTACAAAAACTAATGACTGACTTTGACAAAATCAAGATGAAAGAAGAAGATGATGTTGATGCTTTTGTCGGAAGGTTAACTGAGATTACGTCAAAGGCTGCATCCTTAGGAGAAATCATAGAGGAATCCAAACTTGTCAAGAAATTCTTGAAAACCTTGCCAAGAAAGAAATTCATTCATATGGTTGCTTCTTTGGAACAGATGCTGGACCTTAATACAGCTAACTTTGAAGACATAGTGAGAAGAATAAAGGCGTTTGAAGAAAGAATTAATGAAGAGGAAGAGAGTGAATCACATGACGACAATGGAAAGCTGATGTATGCAAACAATGATTCACAGCATGACGGTTACGGCTCTAATAGAGGAAGAGGTATAAGTGGAAGAGGAACCTGGAGAGGTGGAAGCCGAGGTCGAGGAAGAGTTGGTTTCTACGCTCAGAAGGAAGCTTGGAAACAGGGTCAAGGCAGAGACAAAAGTCACATAACTTGCTTTGAGTGCAGTAAAGTTGGTCACTATGCATCGGAGTGCCCTGACAGAATGCTTAAACTTCAAGAAACTACTGAGAAAAAGGATGAAGAGACACAAGAGGCAGACGAACTAATGGTACATGAAGTGGTTTACCTTAACGAAAATACGGTGAAGCCAAGTAACTTTGAACCTGAGACTAATATGGAAAACATGTGGTACCTTGATAACGGAGCAAGTAATCACATGAGTGGTAATCTACTTTTCTTTACAAAGCTTGATGAAGGTGTTACAGGAAAGGTTAGATTTGGAGATGACTCTTGTATCGATATCAAAGGAAAGGGGTCAATCAAGTTCATTCTAAGAGGTGGAGAAAGAAAGATGCTGAGCAATGTCTACTATATTCCTGGTCTACGAAGTAACATTATTAGTTTGGGACAAGCTACGGAAGCTGGGTGTGAGATAAGAATGAAAGGCGACACACTGTTGCTTCATGATCGAACATGATACTTGATGATCAAGACTACTAGATCCAAGAACCGTCTGTATAAGGTGAACTTACAGGCTGATGTCATACAGTGTCTACAAATTACATCGCCTACTGAGTCATCTAGATGGCACGCAAGACTAGGACATGTAAACACTGAGAAATTGAAAATAATGGTGAGCAAAGAAATGATTCTAGGCATACCTAAGATTAAA